GATAAAATCAACATAATAATCAGACTACAGTTACAATAATAGTGCGTAATATTTCATATCTAAATATCCATATGGTCAATAAGAATGTCATAAATGGCATATTATCAGTCCAGTAATATAACCAGGGCGGTGGAACTGGGAATAACGGCGAATATTAACGTTAATTTCTTCTCGACAGCAGAAGAGGATAAAACCTTTATATCCTATAAATAGGTGTTTAATCACATTCCAGAGACTAATAAACTTGCCTTATACAGCTTCCTATTTAGCATACTTCAGTTACTTAGTTACACGACATAGATCATCGAATACACAAACATCTAGAACATACCATATAGGTATTAGCAGAGCAGATGATAGCCGACATCGAGCCGGAAGCACTGGCACAGGCATTAGAATTTTTCTCACCATGAGGACAAATCAAACTCACGACACCTAATCTCCTAGCAGACGACAATTCGACTTGCCACCGATTGAGCTATTCCATTGCCACAGTATATTGGTAGGCTATTGGAGGGAAATTTACAGATGCAAGGTTCAAAGTAACGAGATTTAAGTGGGTCAGATTTGAAATAGACCTAACTAGACATTTCTCCCGTTGGCCTAGGTGGAAACAATCCCGTCGCCAGGAAAGAATTGGTGCTGGGGCTTGTACAAAGATACTGTAAATTAATAAATCTCTGCTGAACTGAAGAAGCTGAGGCTTAATTCTCACTTGGGTCAGAAAAAAAAAGACTAATCTAAAAAAGATTAATTAATCTATGACTGATGCCATGTCTGCAACTCCCTGAATCTCGTGTCTCCACGTGCCAACCACTGATCTATATAAATAACATAGATCAGTGGTGCCAACCCAAACCATCTTAGTAAATTGAATCTGAATCGCGATAACTATCGACAAGTTAAAGGGAGATAACTCGAATTATCCTTTGAGTATACAGACCGAGTAAACTAAATGTAGTCCGTGTTAATTTCAAATTCCACGTGCCAACCACTGATCTATATAAATAACATAGATCAGTGGTGCCAACCCAAACCATCTTCGTAAATTGAATCTGAATCGCGATAACTCGAATTATCCTCTGAGTATACAGACCGAGTAAACTAAATGTAGTCCGTGTTAATTTTCAAATGTTTTAGGAGTAAAATTCCGAACTGTTCGAATTGGGTCAGAAAAGACTCTAAATCAGGTCTACTATAAGATATAGACTAATCTATGACTGATGTCATTTATGCAAATCCCCGATTCCCGTGTCTTCACTTGCCAACCGAAACCAGTGAAGCAAATTGAAGCTGAATTGCGATGACTTCCTACTAGTTAAAGGGAGATAACTCGAATTATCTTTTGAGTATACCCACCGAGTAAACTAAAAGTAATCTGTGTTAATTTCAGAAATCCTCTTTCTCCGTCCCTATTTAGAGTTTTTGCATGCCTGACTAATTTTTGTTCTAGATTTGGAATTTGATGTTTGAAATTGCATTTTCTTTCAGATTTTGTAAGATGATGAGAGATTTTCATGCGGAAGGATAAAGGATAATTCTGCAGTGGTAGTCAAGTGGATGTTTATAAAAATGTAGTGGTCTACCTTCAGTTTGGCTATCTCAAGCTTTTCATGGGTATGATATATTGATAGTATTGGTCAGACTACTGGTAGGTTATTATATATGACAGCTATTTATTTTGACAATTGAAAAATACTCACAGTAGTTACAAGGTTTGATGCAGATGATGGTGAGAAAACCCAAAACGGTGAGACTGAATGAAAAATTTCACAATGGTCAAGTTAATACGAACTATGTCTTATACCTTAACTGCAATAGTAAAAAAATACAGCTATTTGGTTGGAATGTGTGTAGGCGAAAACAGCTTGGGGGATTGATTTTGGTCTTGAATTTATGTAAATAGTCTTCAGAAGCACTACAAATGTAGAAAAATCACATTATTCCTTAAAAATACTTCAAAGTATTCAACTAGGAAATTTACTCATTATTTCTATATACATGTCTTTTCTCAGAGTATTGACGAGTCTCGGCTAAATATGGACGCACGTGAATTTAAAGGCACAAATTTCAATGGTGAGCTGTGATCACTATTACTGATTGGCTTAGCTAAAGAAAGATTGGTCAAAAAAAAATGGCACACCGTCCCTTTAAGGAGCAAATATCTGATTCAAAATTACAGCAGGGAAAATTTCACGATTTATTAGGATCACAAAGGAATGAAACTAAAGATTTAATTAAAAATAAAGTTTTGAAATTTGATTAGCCGTTTCTGTACCTGACCTATGAACTGTTACTAGCTGTAATAAATGGCCTAGAATCTGTGGTTTATATATCTACTTGCACATATTTGCCCTTTGAATTAACGCACACCATCAAATTAAAATGAAATAAACTCTGAAGTGCACCATACCTGAAGAACCCCAAAGGAAATGTTTGTCAATATATTGTAATAATTTACAATCCCATTGCTAGGGAAAACATACATCAATTAGTTTTTTGAATAGAAGGAAACATTTTGATATATTCAATCCATCCAAGACCATCCAGTGATAGCTCATTGCCTCCAACCAGATCAAATGCTGCATTCCACACAACTCCCAAACAAGTGTCAATCACCCCACCAACAACCGAACACCAAAAAATAGAGACAAATCGAGATGAAATCTCCCTGCCGTACCTTAGGCCTAATCATTATGACAGATAGTCTCCAATGGGCGTCTCCTGTTTACTTATCTGGAACCAACAAATCTATGACCAGAGTCCACAATCCTGAAGTCATTTAATGCCTCCATCCTTAACTTACCACTCTAAGATCCATATACCCCCTACCATTACTACTCTAGTCACTAGGTGACACACGATTACTTACCATCCTAAAGTTCCCTTAATTTACTACCCTAAGGTCCATAAACACTATAGCTTAATTTACCCTTAAGACCTTTTACTTACACAGTTTTGGGAATTCTTTGAAATTCTCAACAACCACCATCCTTCTATCAAACTAACCACAAACGTGAGTGACAAAAGCATAGACTTTCTCGATACCACAGTCTTTAAGGGAGATTCCTTAGCAGAAATAAATAAACGGGATATTAAAGTGTATTTCAAAGAAACTGATACTCATCAACTCTTGCACAAGAGCTCCTTTCACCCAAAACATACCTTTTCTGGTATAATTAATTCACAAGTTTTACGATTTCATCGAATTTGTACAAGATCTTCTGATTTCAACCAAGCCTGTACGATTGTTTTCTCAAAACTGAAAGAGCGTGGGTACTCTAAACGATTTTTACGAAACATAAAAAATTCCACCTTAGCACAGATATCAGCTAAAAACAGATTTTTTGCCGAAGTACCTCCAGGTTTAAGAAGTGCTCCATGTTTGTCCAGTAGATACAAAACATGTCCCTTTATATCAGAAACTCATTATTTTGTAAGCAACTCTACGAATAAAAGGTACCCGATCCAGGAACATCTAACATGTGAACATTCGAATGTAATATATTTAATTTCATGCAAGAAATGCCCCAAACAATACGTAGGAGAAACTAAGAATAATTTACGAACTCGCTTTAATGCTCATAGGTCAGACATCAAATTAAAGAAAGACAAGCCTGTTTCTAATCATTTCAACCTCGACGACCATTCAATAGACGATCTCACCCTTATCCCAATTGAGCGTATAGAAATTGACTTGCCCGAAGATGAAACTACCAAATTCCGTCAATCTAGGGAGACCCATTGGATTGAGACATTAAATACAGCAAGACCTATAGGACTAAATATTCATCATAATGTAGGCATAGCACCCTTTGTTGTCCCGTTTAATACAACCAGCAATCGAGCAAGCAAGATAGTTCATGCCCACTATAAGAGCCTTCAAGAGAAATTCCCCCATGTCTATAAGCAGAAAATGATAGTTGCATATTCAAAAAATAAGAACTTAAATGATAATATTGTTCATAGTAAACTAAAAACAATCAGTACATAACAGATACTATACTTCTCGCCCAGCGGGCGAGTTATTTTTTCTAATTTCAGATCAGAATAAGAACAGAAGAAAACCCAATATCAAGACCCTTAATCCTAATTTCTTAATAAAGTGTCTGCTCCACCCTAGGCCTGTACATTTGGGAGAATCAAACCCTCCCTTCCCCGAAATCTAAGGTCCATAATCCCATACCTACTGCTCTAAAGGCCTTTTTTGGCCCCTTTAATTGTTTCAGCTGATCTTAAATTCTGTGGTGACAAAATAGAGGCATAAACCACAATGACTAAATAGGACATGAGATAACTCTAACATGCCACAAAATAGTCAAATTGGTCTTTGCTCCACCATCTCTTCTCTGCTGGATCATGTTCGTTGGTAGTTGCGCTACAATACAACACAGCAAAGACCATATTGGAATGAACATCTGTATCAAAATTGAGGTCAAAATATTTTAAAGCCAAACTACAGCATCGCTTTTGGAAAATAGACCATCAATTTCAGAAACAAATATCATTGCAATATATTTTCCTGCAAGAAACAAAAACGATTAGTTAAAGGAAAAATATGATTAGTGACAAAGTGACATAAACAATAATACAACGATATAAAAATTGACAAACACAAGTGAACACTAACAGACAGTCACAAACAAAATACACACACTGGACTGACGGACATGAGTGACCACGAACAGAATTGGCAGTTTAAACAATATACACCCTCTGGACTGACAGACATGAGTGACCACTAACAGACTTGGTAGTTTTAACAATATACACNCACTGGACTGATGGACATGAGTGACCACCAACACACTTGGCAGTTCAAGCAATATACACCCGCTGGATTGACGGACATGAGTGACCACCAACAGATTTGGCAGTTCAAACAATATACACCCACTGGACTGACGGACATGAGTGACCACCAACAGACTTGGTAGTTCAAACAATATACACCCACTGGACTGACAGACATGAGTGACTACTAACAGACTTGGTAGTTCAAACAATATACACCCACTGGACTGACGGACATGAGTGACCACCAACACACTTGGCAGTTCAAGCAATATACACCCGCTGGATTGACGGACATGAGTGACCACCAACAGATTTGGCAGTTCAAACAATATACACCCACTGGACTGACGGACATGAGTGACCACCAACAGACTTGGTAGTTCAAACAATATACACCCACTGGACTGACGGACATGAGTGACCACCAACAGACTTGGTAGTTCAAACAATATACACCCACTGGACTGACGGACATGAGTGATCACCAACAGACTTGGTAGTTCAAACAGTATACACACATTGGACTGAGGGACATGAGTGACCACCAACAGAATTGGTAGTTCAAACAATATACACCCACTGGACTGACGGACATGAGTGATCACCAACAGACTTGGTAGTTCAAACAGTATTAACCCATTGGACTGACGGACATGAGTGACCACCAACAGACTTGGTAGTTCAAACAATATACACCCATTGGACTGATGAACGTGAGTGGCCGCCAATCCATTCCAGATCTAACTAATCTTCTACCATCTTTTACCATAACTGCAAAATCAAAAAAATGAATGAACACAAATTTATTTTGCATTTAAACAATATACTGGACTAACAGAGATGAGTGACCACCAACAGACATGACGGCTTGGAACACGAAATCTAACAAATCTTCACCATATTTCCTCCATATTCGAACACATTTTACCATAATCTACAAAATAAAAGAAAGAATATGGGG